TGTGTACATATATATATATATATATATATATATACATACATACATACAGTATATAATCTAAAGCTCTGAGAGCTCTTAAGTCAGGAATGCTGAGTATTATAGTATATTGAGGTCAGATGAAATTTTACATTTTTGTGTCTTCTATTGCATCCCTTCTGGTAGTTTGTATGACTGCATTACTCCAGCACTCATAATTGATTTTTATCTTCTGATTTTTCTTCCAAGTATTTTATTTTTTATTAGTGTTCCTTGGCTTGATACTTTCTAATGTTTCTAGTCACTTAACCATCCCCCAATATGAGTTATTTGGCTTTTCTGCTTTGTCTCTGGCAGCTATAACAGTGGTAGGAATGTTTTTTAAATAATTTAAAAGGAACCACTGAGTTTTCAAAAAATCATCCTGGGGGAGGTATTTCGGTGTTTCGTTTGAGCAGGGATTTTTGTCAGAAAATGTGTTTTTACAGTAGGTCAGCAACAGTGCAAATATCTGAAAGCACAATACCAGTTAGGCGGGCTGTCCGATCAAAAATCATCTGGCTGAAGTTTATCTCTGTCTCTCAGGAGTAATCCCTATCTTTTTAACCATAGGAGATGACTTGTGGAATCATACAAAGGCTTAGGAAGAAACAAGTTTGTATAAACCAGGATGCTTGTACTTACTTGAAGTGACTTCATCTAGATTTCATGTTTATTAAATTTAAAGCTGTGATCAGCTAGTCAGCTGTTAACATAAATTGGTTTATGGAAGGCTGCTTCATTGTGAACAGTGGTTACATACCTTTTCACCTGTTCCTAGGGCTTTATTGCCTTTGTAACCCTTAAAACTGCTGGCATACTATTTCCCATTTATGTACTACAAAAGTTCTACATTTATTTGGTTTGTATTTACCTTCATTCTTTGTGAATGTTTGGTGCAACTTGCACTTTTAAAAAGGACCCAATTAGGGTATTTATCAATTCACTATTGACTTACTTTCAAACCATGTGAATTTTTTTAATGGAAGCTTTTCATTGATTTTATTTTAGCACCTAAAAGGTAGACTTAAAAATGCTATAAAAGCAAAATATGTAGTAATTAGATTTGACTAGCCCAGTAATTAAAGGGGCTCAGTTCTTAAGCTTTTTCATCATGGATAAAGACTGAAGAATAGTTCAATTCAAATAATTTAAATTTCTTTCCAATTACAAATGGGACTATCACTCCATTAATATATTATTAGTATGTCAAAATCCATTAAATTTTTCAGAAGTTTTTTTAAAACAACTATCATCATTGGAGATTATACGCAATAAGTATTTTTACTAAATTATTTTCATTTTGAACTGGCTTTATTGTCATCAAAGAAACGGTGCCTAGATTTGATTTTGGACAAGGACGAAGAAGAGAAGTGTTTCAGTAAGCCTGTAGATGGAATTATGGGATAATTTTTTCATTCACTTGTACAAAGCACAACTTTTGGGTGATTTTACATACATCTTGAATTTGAATACTTACAATATTGACTTTCTTAAGTTGACTACATAGTTACTGTATGAACTAGGAACTGGTTTCCTTCACTTTCTAGTATCAGTGGCCAGGAAAGGGATTAATCCTTGAGGGGTTGAACATATCATGAAGTTGAGTCAGTATGGAAGAATTTCAAACAAACAGGGTGCTGCAGTTCCATCTGTCATCTGCTTATGATATGTTTTTACTGATAAGTGAATGTAGCTTAAGCCTTTGTATGTGTCCTCAGGGGGCAGACAGATCTGAGGGACCAGATAACATTTGAATAGAAGACTTATATTTCAGGTGTTTTAGCTTGAAATTTATTTTTTAAAAAAAGAAAAATTAAAAAAATAAAATATAACAAAGCCTGTAAAGTAAGTTGATATTATAAACAGGCAGAGTTTAGCACAGAGAGAAAATATTGACCTGTCTGCATTTTGGTACTATGGATGCAGGTTCCCAGCTGGGCAGAACATGATACATTTTAAATTATTTTCACCAGCAAGTAAAAGTAACAATCTACAGGAAATGTCTGCAAAAGGGGTCATAGAATAGAAAACTTAGATTTAACCTACTTTAATTCTTGCCTGTATAAGAGTGACATTTCTAAACTTCTATCTGAGGAGTATCTCAGATGTGAGAGTAAATCTGAGGTAGTTTAAAAATTGGTAGGGAAGGAAGAAAATCCCTGCAGATAATGATCTTATGTTGGCCACATGAAATGATCTGTCATTGAGTTTGGGAGGTTTTATTTTCTTATGTTTTTAAAATTGAATTGGTAAATGCTTTATAGGCATATTTTTATCCAGGTGCCACTCCAGTGTATATGTACTAAAATTATTTATATTAAAAGTGAGAAATAACTTGTCACCATTTTTCTGTGAGTATAGATTTATAGGGGTGGCAAATAGTACTAGTTAGCAGTTTCCCATGTAAAGTTGTCTTTGACCAATTTGTACTTGTCAGCTATAATCTCTGCCTTCCCCCACACCCCAGCAAAAGTAATTATTTTTAACCCAGATGTATCGTGTGAAACTTTTTGGATTAAAAAAATAACCAGGGAAGTTCCTAGAAAAGATGTTTGGCTTTTTGAGTTTTCCTTGAGGATTTGGGGTAAAGAATACCTCCCCCCAAAGCTATCAGCACAAAACAGGGTATCAATTTTTAACTCTGATGTTTCTATTGGAGTTGAATACTAAATAAATAATAATGAGGGAAGTACATTTCTAATATTCCCTACATTATCTAGAAACATCCCTGTTTTAATTTTTTTACCTAAATCTTTTTGTGCTTTATGTGTAAAAAAAGAACATGTACTGAGTTACAATGCATTTATTAACACTATGTACATATTAGCTGCTTTGTGTTCAGAATGGTAGCAATTGCTTTGTATATTAAAGTGATCCTTGTGAATTTGTGAAATATTGTCATAAAGTGCTTTTTCTTACTGTAATCTTTGTGATATCAACTGTCATAATGCCCTTTTTACACAGACATTTATGTGCAGTCACATAAACATGCTTTTTAAAATTCTGTAAGTCTCTTTTTTGGGGGGTGGTACCTCTATTTCATGATTGTACTATTAAGTCATACATTCTTACGCTTATGTTAGACTACATGCCAAGTTTGTGTTGCACAGCAGTAGAAAACTGATTCAGGCAATAAGAACCTATTTTGAGTACTTCATTTTATTGCATTTCTGGCTTTTAGCTCAAAAAACTTTTCAGTAACATTGAACTTCTTAATAGAAGATTTGGAGATACTACTGTCCTGTTGACATAACTAATGGAGACATTAATGACTTTTTATCTCCAGTGTCACAATATGCATATTTGTACTGAAAGAACAGTAAGAACAGGTAACTTTCTAGGTCTCCTTAGAATGATAAAATTCTGTGATCATTTAAAATGGAAGAGAGGATGTGGTTTTAATTATTGCTTAAGGTTTACAAACAATATTCCTATAATATTCTGAAATACATTCTGGGACTTAGAATCCTAAGTATTGTATGTTCAAGTTGTCAAGACGTGTTCATTAGGACTAATACACTTGCTGTTATACTAAAAGAATTACATTTCGTTTTTCCCCTTCAAAGTGACTACATAACTTACTGAAACAGTAAGACATTTCTGAGAGTTAAAGGGTGATGATAATTTCATGGAGACAAGGTATAAAACTGGATTTGCTGAGCATTTTGGAACCTGTGATCATCCTACTTATAAGCCAAGTTCAGGTGCCTGCGCCTAAAGTTGGAGTCTGTGTCTTCTCTCTTTGCTATCACATAAAAAATAATCATCAAGGACAAACTTCTGAGTACTGTAAAGACAAAAAAAAAATTCCCTTTTCTTTAGAAGCTTGAATACATCCAAGAACACAATTCTAATTACCTTTACACGGTGACAGTCCTTTCTGCTCCACTGAAGTGTAAGTGTACATTTGTATTTGTCATTTTCACTCATTGCAAAACAGGTCCCAAATAGGACTTGTAATACTGTTAATGCTTCTTTAGCTGTCTTTCTCCATTTTGTAAATGGTGCTGCTGGTGCTGTCCATTAAATTGCCAGGCCCAGAAAAACAACACCTTAGTGCTGACTGTCCTCACTATGCGTTTGTTTTTTGTTTTTTGTTTTGGGCAGTACAGGCGATTGAATCAGGACCTTGCACTAAGCTAAATTCCTGGCCCTCACTTTGCCTTTTAATTTCTCCATATCTTAAACATGCAGAGAACAGACCAAATGATCAGCAGATTCTAAGGGGGTCCTAACATCTAGTGAAAAAGGGTAGGTAATCTTCAAGAGTATGGATGTTAATTTTTGTGTTTTTAATTGAAGGGCAGTTCATACAGCAACCATTTAAGGTGAATAATTCAGTGGTATTTAATGCACTCACAGTGTTGTGCAACTACCACGTCTATCCAGTTCCCACACTTTTTTTTTTTAATTCTTGAAACAGGGTCTCACTATGTAGTTCATCCTGGCCTTGAGCTCACTAGCCCAGGCTGGCCTCGAACTTGAGGCAATCCTCCTGCCTCAGCCTCCCAAGTGCTGAATTATAGGCGTGAACCACAATCTGGCAGTTCCCAAATTTTCATCACACCAAAATTATACCCTTTAAACAGTTATTTCTTCCTGCCCCTCGCAACCACCAGCTTCCTTTTTATTTATACAAATTACTATTTCTGGGTAATTCAAACAATTGGAATGATGTAATAAAGTATAAATTTTTGCATGACTTCTTTCATTTCACGTATCTTGAGATTCATCCAAACTAGCATGTACAAGTACTGTATTTTTATAGTCAAATTTTCCACTGTATACATGCTTACCCATTTGTTGATGGACATTTAGTTTGTTTCCACCATTTAGCTATTGTGAATAGTACTACTGGGGAACAGTTTCTATCTAAATATTTGAGTCCTTGTTTCTAATTCTTTCAGGTATATGCCTAGAAGTAGAATTGCTGTGTTGTGGGTAATTCTATGTTTAACCTTCTAAGGGACTGCCAGGCTCTCAGCAGCTGCACCATTTACTCTCCACCATTGACGTACAAGGCTTCCTATTTCTCTACATCTCCCCCAACACTTGTTTTGCAGTTTTTAAAATACAGCTACCTTCACAGGTGTGGAATGAACTCACTGCAATTTTTTAAATTTGCATTTCCCTAATGATTACTGATATTGAGCATGTTTTTCAGTTAGCCATTTACATTATCTTCTTTGGAGAAACATCTGTGTAAGTCTTGTATTCATTTTGTAATTGTTTTCTTGTTGAAATACAAGAATTCCTCATATATTCCGGAGATGTAGAATTTTACATTTTATCCCATTCTACAAGTTTTTACTTTCTAGATAATTGTCTTCACTGTTTAACTGGAGTTTTTTTTAAAAGTACACTGGTTCAAAAATAGTGTAACATAGGCAAACAGTACAAAGCAATTTCTTGTACATGTTTTTAGTGACAATCTCAACTGTACACAAAAGTATATTCCCTTGTTTTATAAAAAGGGTGGGCTATAACTTTCCATTAGTTTTCAAACTTTTGATGGTTATACATACTAAGATACAAAGGAGTTAGTGTTTGTACAAGCTTATCTACAGGACAGATAGAAATTATTTTTGAAGTACTGTTTTCTTCATATTTGGAGATTATTTACTAAGCATTAAAAACTTTATACACTGTTTTTGTTAACTTATGTTGGTTAGTATATTTTTAATATCAAACATGTTTTCAGAAAGGAAAATTAGAAGTAGAACCTGTTTTTTGCAAAGTTATAAAGTAGATGTCCCTTTTGCTTCTGTTAGTACTATTTTTGCCTTCTAATCTCCCTCAACTCTTCACAGTGACTTAATTTTGCAAAATTCCATCTTTTCCAGTGTCACTAAATTTTTAACCCACGGTTGTAGATAGAAAAGTTCAGAGAAGACGACTCATAGCCAACAAGGAAATCCTTAGGTTTTAAAGTAAAACAGCTGAGGACTCCCCAGACTTCATGCTATTCATGTGAGTGCTAAGAGAACATGGTGTCCAGCTTCCCAGAGCAGTGCTCTGCAAGGCAATTCATTTGCTCTACATGGAGGGTTATGGGGGAACAGTAAGATTATGATTGGTTTCTCTAACACTAAAATAAATCACATCTATTTTACCAATTCAAGCCAGGCCCCATATTTAGCTCCACTTACCAATACTGAATATGTTAGAATTTTTAAGAACTTTGTGAAGTTTCATTTTGTTAAAGAACTGGTAGCAGATGCTTCCTATAAATTAAAAGTATGCAATTGAGAGCTAGGGATGTAACTCAGTGGTGAGCACTTCCCTAATATTCACAAGGCCCTGGGTTCCATTTCCAGCACCACCATTACCCCACCCCCCAAAAATAGTATGGATTGTTGGAGGTGGATCTTAATAAAAATTAATGTGATTTTATTACTGAGAATGTTATTTTACTATCTGAGGATCAATTCCTCCTTACTAAAGTATCCTAATTCAGAGCATAAATTGTATTACTGAGATAAACATTCCAGATGATGCTGTATTTTGCTGTAAAATACCTAGTGTTCAGCTAAAGTATTTTGATGGGTTAGAATTCTGATTCTTTAGTGTAAAATGTTCTCTGTGAGAAACTACCTGAATATGATACAGGTTTCAGGTAGTCCTATCAAGAACTAAAGCAAGCTTGCCTTAAGAGGGAACTATCAGAGAACAGTATTCTTTCTAGCAGTTATAATAATCTTGTATTACATATATTTTAAGATAGTATCTTAAAAGCAATATTTGATATTAGAGGAGAGTTACGGGTATGTACTAGATAACTGCATAAATGTTAAATGGAACCGTCTGAAAATCAAGATTTGGACTACAGTGTACCCTTGATTTATGAACTCCATTCGTTCTTGAGAGCTAGTTCTAATTCAAGTTGGTCAATGAAGGCTCAGGCCCCTCTACACAGCCTTCAAAGTCTTTCTCCTATATATAGGCAGATCTCAGTGTCCTTAGAGACACATTGGCCCAGGAGTTCTCAATAATCCCCACACAGGAAAGGATGTAATATTCCTTCCAGAACTCTAAGGGTTCAATCTGAATGAGATTGTCTGGAAGGTTATAGTCAAGATTTCGGTTGTAAGTTAAAACTAAAATTCCAGTCATAACCCTAGTTGTTCGTATATCAGGCAGGTTGTAACTTAAGGGTCCACTCTACATTTATATATTTAAGGGGAAAACAAGTACACTTAAGCCAGGTATAGTGGCACATGCCTGTAATCCTAGCATTTGAAAGAATGAGGCAGGAGGATCACCAAGTTTCAGGCCAGCCTGGACTACACAGTGAAATCCTGTCTCAAACCCCACTCAAAAATAAATACATGTATGTAGAAAATAACATTAGGTATTCCCACGTACAAAATATTCATTAAAAGATTAAAGAGATAAGGGGGTAAGGTCTTACTTTTAATAGCTTTTAAACAAATCTCTCTAGTACAAATACCATATGAGCTTATAATCTTGTCTAAATTTGTTTAAACAACATTTAAACTTTTACATTGTAAAAGGAAAAGTTCATACATAGGAACTTCATAAAGTCTATGAAAGATAGTCATAAAACAGCACAGCAGTCATTTAACCCAAACTCAATGCTCTCTAACTAGAATGTATCTTATTTCATTATTTGGCTGTGATACACACTAATGCTGAGAAAGCAATGAAAGAGGCAGGAGGCCCTCTAGAAGCTCAAAGTCTACCCAACTGTAGGTACCACGTGGGTGGAAGGAGCTTAAACTTGGGAGCTAGCTCCTGAGAAGTGCTGAAAAGAGGCAGGGAAAGCCTAGGACAGTGGTGGTGAACCTATGGCATACATGCCACTGGGGGAAATAGCCTGCTGTCAGCACAAGCCAAGTCACCCCAGCAGCCAAGCATCAGATATTCAGGTTTATTTGCAGTGTTGGCACTTTGCGATAAGTAAGTGGGTTCTGGATTAGTTTGGGCACTTGGTCTCAAAGGTTTGCCAGCACTGGCTTAGGAAATAACTATACAAAAATGTGAGAAATGCAAAGCTGACAGGGAAAAACAACTTCTGATTTGAAGAACAAAACATATTCAAGTCCAAGGCTTTAGATGCATTCAAAAAGTAACTCAAATTTTTACTTAATGCTTTGTTTATATACTTCCACTTGAAATTAAGTCAAAAAAATAGGACATGAATCCCAGGAAACTCCCATCCTAATCTCAACAATCAAAAGTGTTTTAAGTAGCCAGGTGTGGGGGCACACGCCCGTAATCCCAGCACTCCAGAGGCTGAGGCAAGAGGATCGCTGTGAGTTCGAGACAAACCTGCACTACATAGTGAGTGCCAGGTCAGTCTCAACTACATAGTGAGACCCTGTGTCAAAAAAACAAACAAAAAAAAAAAGTGTTTTAAGACCTAAATGGAGCAAGACTTCAAGAGCACTAACAGCTCAGATTAAACCTCTTGTATTCAGGAAATGAGAAAACTGGGATTACCATTATATATCTCAGAATGTTCTTAGTAAGCTTAGGATTTAACTTCTCCAAAACAAGGACATCTTTATACGAGCCTTCGATGTATCAGTGAAAATTTTATCAAGGTAAAGCAGCAGGAAATACAACCCAAAACCTCACACTTTCATGTTAACTGAATTTCCGTGCAGTACAACATGGCTAAGAATCACAACTGAACAACCTGCTCTGTTTTAAAACTGCACATGTGCTTTGTCACTTGAGACCACATACTTGTACAGTAAGCCACTGCATTAAATATGGTTAGGTTCTCAGTCTAAGACCTCAACTGACCTCCTTAGGGCCAATACTCTATTTTTTCTTTTTCTGGTACCGGGAATTGAACTCAGGTCCTTGCGCTTGCAAGGCAGGTGGTGGAACCACTGAGCTAAATCCCTGGCCCTCTTTAGGGCCAATATTCTTATAAAATATACCCAACTATAAGTCCCCCCGCTGGATTCTTTTTTGTGCTTTGTAAATATGTACATCTTTTTCAGGATCATAGTAAATCTTACTCACAGTAAATTGCCTCTCCATCATCGCTAAGAAGTTGTTATCCCGTTCATAGCGAATTCGGCAAGCTAAAAGAATCACAGAGTGATCACTACAGAGATATTCCAGTGTCTGAAGAAGATCTGTGAATGTTTCTTCTAAATATATGATATCAGCTCCAAGTATCAAGTCAAATTCTCCAGGTGAAAAACTCTCCAGATTTTGTCCCCAAGTCAGCTCCTTAACAACAGCATTGGTTTGGACGTGGGGAGGTAAGTTGGCTTGAACATTTGATTTAAGAAATTCTAATGCTACTTTTCGATCCGTGACAGTCACATGAGCACCTACAATGTGGGAAAAAGAGAAAGTAATGTGAAAATCAGTACAACTGTTGGTAGAGGGGGTCAGATTAAACAAAATGATCTAAATATTCCACCTGATACAGAGTATCTATATCCTTAACAGCTGCAATGGATCTGAAATGTAGCTCCTCTACATTGCCTTCTGATTAAAACTTTGATTTGCCTCTATAAGACACCTGTATCTTCTGAATTTGTGCCTGTAAATTGCAACCACCAAGTGACACAGCTAATGCTTCTAAATTCTGCAAGTGGAGCTGCCCCACTGTTCACACAAATCCACTATATTTCATTCATTAGACCACAACCAAGTCAGCAGGCTTCCAGGTAAAATGGAATCCAAAACTGAAAAATCTGAAACCAGAGTACTATTATGAAGATAACACAAGCAGGGAAAGATTATTTTGTTTTTTATAGCAAAACATTTATTGGCACATTTTAGGCATAAATAATGATAACATTCATCATAGGAAATTTGCATCTGTACATGGTACATTCTGCCCCTTTTTTCCCATTTCCCCCCTCCCCTTCCTATGTACAAAAGCTTTGTTTCCATTTTTTCCTTCTATTTTCACTTTTTTCCCTGTCCCTTCCTTTCTCCCTGGCTCTTCCCTTTCTCCCCTTCCCATTTGAACATTTTCTTCTCATTTCCCCATTTCTATTATACATTTGTCTTCATTTCCACTTTGTTTTTCACACCAGAGAAACAGTGTGGGTATTTAAACTTGTGTGTCTGATTTAGAAAAGGTTGTTTTGTGAGGTTAAAGTTTTTTAAAGCAGAAGAAACTGGCTACTGAGGAATCCCAGTTCACCTTTCCTTATTCTGTTTTGAAGCAGTTAACCTATATGTGTTTATGTAACACATACACAATCGTTAAAAACTGTATACTTAAGGGCTGGGGATTTAGCTCAATGGTGCCACCACCTGCCCGGCAAGTGCAAGGTCCCAAGTTTGATGCTGGGTACAAAAACAAACAAAAAAACTGTACACTTAAGAACTATTATGAACATGGTTGTGCATGCCTATAATCCTGGCTATTTGGGAGGCTGAGGCAGGGAAGACTGTAAATTTGAGCAACCTAGCAAAATCCTGCCTCATAATACAAAGGGCTACGGATGTAGATCGATGATAGAGCACTTGACTAGCATGCATGAGGTCCTGAGTTCAATCCTCACTATTGCCAAAATTTAAAAAAATAGTATTTAAGAAACGTAAGTTAAAATGCTAGTTCCTGTTCTTTATATACTGTTTCTAGGTTCAATGCAAAAAATTAATGAGGTAGGATTTTATTCATCTGTTTCTTGTGATTTATTGACAATGAACTAAAAGATTTATTATTCTTTTTAACCCATATGAGTGAGAGACACCTATTTCCCTTAAGGTGAAGCAACCCACATGAGGTCAGCCCTAATACACCTCATACGTGTGGTCATGTTTTATTTTGGCCCAGGAATTCTGACATTTAATAATTTTAATGTTTCATTCATTCATAAAAGTATTTCTCATTTGCATCCTTTTTCAGCATGCAGTCTCCCATGAAGTCTCAGAACAGCTGTAGAGAACACCATTCCACTGCCAGCTTATACCTGGTGTGTCCTGACATGTAACACTATGGTGGTACATAATTTAACTTGACATTTATAGTCCTAGAGTGTGGTACAGATGAAAATGATCAAGCTGTTAAGATTTTGCAAGCCTGGACTTCATGAGCCACTTTGAGTAGCATTCTTTGCTAGCCAGTGTGCCTCTTCTGGTTTGAGGCCAGGCTCCCTCACTCCTTTTCTCTCTTTCTTCCTCCTTCCCACTCTTCCTTTCTCTCTCTCCCTTCTGCCTCTCATCCCCCTTCCCCTCTTTCCGGATGAGCTAGCCCCAAAATCCTGGATTCAAGTCAGCCTCCAGAGTAGCTGGGACTACAGATGTGTGCCACCATGCCTGGCCATCTGTGGATTTCTTCTCTATCTACAGAGCACTCTTCTGGAAATACAGGAGTGATCTATTCTTTTAAATATCAATCCAATTATTAATCTTAACAGCTTTTCTATTGCCTGTCTCAGTGATTTTGGAGGCTACTTCTTTTTTTTTTTCAATGCCAGAGATCAAACTCAAGACCTTGCACTTGTGAGGCAGGCACAGTGCCACTGAGCTGAATCCCTGGCTTGGAAGCTACTTCTAACCTGCTAAGTATTCCAGAAGTTGGCATATATCTTAGTATCTGACTACCACCAGCCCGGGGACAAAAACTCCTACCCTCACAGAGTTTATATTCAAGCGAAGAGATAGGTAATATCTATGTTTTCTTTAAAAAAGTAGAATACCCAGTAGTTAGCTGGTGACACAAAAAAAAGGAAAAAGTAAGGCAGAAAAGAAAGGCATGGAATGTGAGGAAATAAGAGAACTGTGAAAGTGCAGGTTAAGTATATAAGGAAGGCATCACTGAGACGGTACCAGGAAAGGCGTCAGAGCAGGAGAGGACAGCCAAGTGCATATCAAGGAAGAACATTTCAGGCAGGGGAAAGGAGGCCAGTAGGGCTGGAACAGAGTAAATGAGGAATAAAGTCCTAGGAGATGATGTCAGAGAAGTCACAGGGAGCACAGCTAATCATCAACAGCCTCGCTAGTTGCGTTTCAGAGAGGCTCTAGTTTCCAGAGTGAGATGGGAAGCCACTGGAAAGTGCTGAGCATAGTAAGTTCAAAGTGCCTGACTTGGATTTTTAACAGTATCTCTGGTGGTGGAGCAAGGCCAGAGGTAAGGAACTGGTGGAGCTCCCACAGGGTCTGGCTGTAGGATGCTAGTGGCCTGCATCTTGCTGCACCCAGACACCCTCCAGAGCCAGCTCTCAAATGCAACCCACCCTCCAGTATCCACTCTCCTGCCTTTCACAGGAATCTCTCCCTTAACTGTGTATTTGGGCTTTATCATCTAGATGACCATCCCTGCCATTACAGGTTGTCCGTGGTTTTATTTTGCTTGTTTGAGTGGGAGATACAGAAGATGTCATAGCCTATCTTTTTTTTTTTCTTTTTTTTTCTTTTTTGGTACCAGGGATCGAACTCGGGCCCTTGCGCTTACCAGGCAGTAGAACCATTGAGCCAAATCCCTGGCCCATAAGCCTATCTTTTAAACCATCAGTTTCTTTTCCAACCTCCCCAGCCCCCCCCCCGGCAATTTAAGGAAGAGACAGGTTGTTTGTCCTGTGGTTTACCACAATCTGAATTTTGATGACTGCATAATTTGTGGTTTCACATGTGCCTTTGTCCTCTGTATCTCCTATAAATTTGTCTGAGTTAGATTTTTCAAAAAATCCCTAATGGGCCAGAGATTTAGCTCAGTGGTTCTGCCGCCTGCTTTGCAAGAGCAAGGTTCTGAGTTTGATCCCCCCCCACACACAAAAAGTCCCTAATGTCTAGTAGGCTCTATTTTTGAGACATCAGCAGCCACTAAGCCTTAATACTCGGATCCTTCATTATATTCTTTTTGCACTTTTGAGAAGTAGTTACTTATTATATAGGAACTGAATAGGAAATACAAAATAACTTTGCTCCTCCATCCCCTTTCATAAGCCAGATTTCAAAACAAAGAGTTGATTTCTCAGAATCCTCCAAGATAATTAGGTTAACATGTTATTGTGAACACATGGATGAAACACATTTAGTGTATTTGAATCCACTGACATTATTACTGGTTTTCAAATTGTCCCATCTTTTGCCAGTGGCTTCTGACACAACCCTAGTCATCTTTGATAGCTTCCTTGAAATCTCTGTAAAGATCTTCCAGGATCCACTTACTCATTTCCTACCATAGACCTAGAGCCAGCCGTTTCAGAGGTTTGTATCTCTTATTTTGTTGAGAGGGAGAAGAGCAAGTTTCTATTCTGAGGGAAATGACTGAGTAGAAAGGGAGAATGCAGGTACCCTTAAACAGGTGAGAGCAGACAGGAGGATCTAAGGCACAAGTAGGATACTCACTCAGACAGAACAATCACTCAACTACAAGGAGAACTAAAGTCCAGACCCAGGTGTAGGGGAGGCAGTGGCTGGAGGCTGGGGAAGTTCTTTTCAGATTGCTTAAGGCTTTGCACTGAAATGAAGAATGTCAGTAGCTGAAAGCGACAAGTAGAAAACAGTGGAAGTTTGAAAGCCAACACAATGAAAATCAGCAGAGTATGAGAAGAGCTAAAGTGTGACTGCCCAGCAGTATCAAGAGCCTCTTGGGCCAGGATTTAGCTCAGTGGTACTGGCAACTGTCTCGCAAGAGCAAGGACCTGAGTTCGATCCCCAGTACCAAAAAAAAAAAAAAAGAGCCTCTTGAGAGCTGGGAATAGTGGTGCCCCCTTGTAATCCCGGCACTTCTGAGGGGCTAAGGCAAGAGGATCGCAGGTTCTAACCCAGTCTGGACTACTTGGCACCTAACTTAGACCCTGTCTCAAAACAAAAAATAATAAAAGCCTGGGAATGTAGCTCTGTGCAAAGGCCCTGGGTTAAATGCCCAGCACCATCATCCCCACCCCCACCCAGAAGCCCCTGGATCATGAATCTAAGTGAGAGCCAGCAGCAGAGCTCCCTCCAGCCATGCCGAGCAGCACCAGCCCAGGCCTGAGCAAGGGAAAGCTGCATTTCACCTGGGTTATTTGGGGGAGTTTTTTGTTTTTGTTTGTTATCGGGGATCAATCTCTGGTCCATGCTCTTGCAAGGCAGGCAGTGGAACCACTAAGTTAAATCCCGGGCCCGCACGTGGGTTGTTTTGAGCTGAGTAAGTAAGATGATGCAGTGACATGCAGCATTGACAATATATGAAAACAGTGATAAAGTGACTGCCCAGGGTAAGGAGGGAAGTCAGACAATACTGAATGAGTTCATAACAGATTAATGGAAACAGACCCAATAAGAAACACAGCATGCCATCCTCCCGTAGAAATGGGAAAAGAATGTGCCATCATTTTTAGTTTTATAAGAGACACTTTAGTGTATTCACATATTCAAGCACATGTTATGTGCTGGACACAAAGATGATCAAGACAGTACTTAAACAGAGCTCCAAGAGTCACAGGGACAGAGTCACATACATATAACTGCTGTGGTGTAGAAAGCAAAATAATAGGAATGTGGGTGTGCACTAGAAATCATGCAGACACAAAGGAGAAATTTCTCAAGAGGAGCTGAGGTCAAAGGAAGAGACTCCTAGGAAGGGAAACCTGAGCTCACACTTAATATGGCATGACCCAGGGAAAGGGGAGAAGAGAGATAATTCAGGGCAAAAGGCAGAGGCCAGAGCACAGTGCGTGCCCCAAGACACTTCTCAAAGAAGAGCGAGGCTGAAGAGTCAGGCAAGACGACATTACAAGGGCTGGGGATTTAGCTCAGTGGTGCCATCACCTGCCTCACAAGCACAAGGTCCGGAGTTTGATCCCAGGTACCAAAAAGACATTACAAAATCTTACCAAAAAGCATGAGAGTGGCAAAGTACAGAATTTTTAAATCCAGGTCACTCCATGAATTCTCCTTTTAGTTGAGACACAGTGACAGCGGCTGAGACAGTGGATTTGAGATGACAAAGCACAGGCAGAAAGGCCAGCTGGGAGGTGCAGTGGTCACCCAGGAGACATGATGAGAGCCAAGCCAGTGTGGGAGAGGACAGGGAGCACTGACAAATGCGTAGTTCAAAGACTCAGCAGGGTTCAGTGAGCTGAGGGAGTCAAGGAATTGGCCTGGTGACTGACTCTTGGGATAGTGAGGCCAACTCAGAACAAGAAGAAAAACCAGCTCGAAAGGAGAAGGAGAGTCTGAGTTTTCACATGCATTGTTTGAGACCCTGGGAAACTACCAAGCAGGAATATCTGGCTTTCTGTTAAATGTACTAGTCAAAAGTTCAGTAGCAGCCCCAAGCATGGTGGCGCACGACTTTAATCCCAGCACTCGGGAGGCTGAGGCAGGAGGATCACTGAGAGTTCGAAACCAGTCTGGGCTACATAGTAATGTTCCAGGTCAGTCTCAACTGCATAGTGAGTCACTGTCTCAA